TTTTTCAAATAAACTGTGGTACTGTCGTAAGTGATGAATCTTCATGAGCAGCTTCTTCTCTTCTTTACAACTCATAGTACAAACGCTTAGTCTTCATGACAGTAATGGTGTGCATGACTTCTCAAAAAGCACAACCGCTCAGTGCTGACAGATTGGCCAAAATGAGTTGCGCTTGAGAAACATTTTTCCGTGAAGTCTTTCAATAACTGATTAAAATGAAAAATTGTTGTATATTCAGTACTTATTCACTTCATATCCAACAAATTTTAAGCAAAAAATATGCTTTATTTTATTACATATTATACGATAGTTAGAGGTGTGATATCCTTGAGTAAGTGAAGTAACTGGTCTCATGGTTCCTCGCCTGCATTCCCATATGTTTCTTCATCTGATGAGGATAAAGAATCCAAACGACCCTCGGAATATAACTGAGTTTCAAATTTGTGCTCTTCAATTTTTAGTAAAGCATTGTCTATATCCATTTGAAGTCTCTCTACCACAGCTTCAGGGATTTGCGAATATTCCGATGACATGGTGGATAAGTCTGAGGAGAAAGTATATCTTCAAAAAAATAACAAAAAAAGTATAGTATACCTTTTTTAAACTGCAAAAACTCTTTTGAACTATTCCTAAGCTTTGCTTGATATTTATACTGTTTACACTTTTTACCTGGTTCCGCCCCCCAGGCAATAAACCTGAGTTTTCCTGAACTCTCATTATCTTATCATTTTTCAGTAGTATTAAGTTAAAATGGACAGTTCTTGTCCTTCAATCTAAAAGAAGTGATTCACTAAAGTATCCAATCTGAAACATAATCATGCTCGTTATCGGGGGACAGAACACTAAATTGTTAAACACACAAAACAAAGCGTGAATGAACATAATTGATAAGATATGAGGTGAACAATTATCGAGAATTAATAACATCGTCTCTGAAATCTCTTATCACACTTTAATCTTTAAAAGATCAATTGAATTTGAGAGAAGAGCTTGTAGCTGGAACCACCATCCAGTACTTGTATTACCCTTGCCAATTGTTTAGAAATTCATTAGCTCTATTTGTACCATAGATTGTCATAGTTTGATTGATGCAGACCTAACACCTGCATTTCCTGGTGGCATGAATGATGACCGAGAAAACTTTTTTTGGGTTTTTCACGAAACCCGCGGTAATAAGTTAATAGTATCAACACTGAAGAGGTGGGAAGACATGTGCACAATGGGAATTGGCAGAAAGGGAGGAGGTGCGGATTGTAGTTAAGCAAAGAGGCGGAGCATGTCACATCTTGACCCTTAGTCTGACCAGTTGTATCTTCAAACAGTTCCTAACTTGGTAGCTAACTTGTTATAACTTTATTCAAAGCTTCCTGTCTGATAGATTCTAATCTATAAAGAAGGAAAAAAACAGGCTTCAAATGGTTTTCGTCGTAATCTGTCTCCGCCCGGAAGAAGTGGTAAGTTCAATTTTTGCAATTTATTTCTACCATCCCTAAGTGTTGTTATGCGAATATATTTAAAAGGTATTAAATTGTGTTAGTCATCTCATATAGAGATAAGTTATTATCAAGAGTTTTTGCTTCACCCTCTGTTTGGATGTTTTTGTGCAAGTTTCATGTGTTGACATCTTGAACAATAAGCTATTGTCTCATAAAGTGGATTAACAGTATTTACTTAATAAGGATGTGCTTTGATATATACCGTCAATACCTTCTAGAGTAATTCATTTGCTTAATTAGTAGCTACTGGAAGTGAGCGTTCCGACAATCCTACAGGCAATTGACCAATAAAAAGTTCCTCTGCGGGGTGTAGTCATGAGAAAGTAGTGTATGAGATTACATTTTTTTTTTCGCAGACATCCACATCTTTCCCATCATTGTTATCGAAACTAAAAGACGTTACTTATACCTTTTCATTGTATTTTTTGAAAACGAAAAGAAATTCCTTTTTCGGTTGCGCAATATGCATAAGAAGAAGAATTTATAACATTTCGAATGTAGTCATCCGAATGAAATGTTTTTCGTCTTGAGGAAAAATGTTATTATCTAGTTTATGACTGTTCACTATGAGCTAAGAGATTATGCTATCTCTTGGAAAACGAAAGATAGGCAAGGTGTGAGAAATGTGCTGTTTATGAATGATGGTTATTGAGAGAGAAGCTCAAGAGAGACTGACTCAATGAAAAGTAGTTTCTTACAAAAAGAAATTGTAAAGTGATGGCACTTGTTTGTTACGCAATTAAATGATACTCTTTTCTGAAGCTTCAAGACAGGTGCAACATGAGATGTAATTAGGTTGAACGATCATCTGCTACATTACCATGTTTTGACCCTTTGACTGCACTCTCTCCGATCCATCATGGCTATACTGTGAAAGTACTTAATACGAACAGTTTGAGAATAGTATACTGACAAACGCACATTGTTTCAGACGATTTGAGATAACACATGTGATTACGTTCTTTTTTAACCGTACAAAATCAAAAGAGGTTATAATCAACTTGAGCATAAAGCACTATTCTCTAAAGATGGAGAAGCTTGAGACAAAAGAAGTTTTTGCAAGCAAGAAGATGGTTGTCGTCAGTTGTCAGTCTGTCGCTTTGACGACCTTTTTAATAGAACAAAGGTCTCAATCTTACATTTATCACTTAGTTTTCTAGAATATCATGATCTGAACTGTCTTAAAACAAATCAATCACTTGACTATATGAATATTATCTCATCAGCTGGTCAGGAGCTCTTCCGCTTTATCTTAGGTCATATGATTTCTAATTCGTAGTGTTCTTTTCATTTCCTTTTTTTTATACAAATCTCTTCTCTTCTTATATCTTCTGTTGTGCGAATGCGAGTTCGATGTTGATTCATCGCTACAAATGGTTTCTGTCTATCTGACTATCAACGAACATCTCTAATTGGTGATGTTTTGATAAATGGCCGAAACTAAAAACTAACAGAAACGGAAAAAAAGATAGAGATGAGAAGAACGAACTGAGAGAAACACAGAGAGATGAAGCAGAAAAAGACCCTGTTCTGTAAAATCTCATCATTTTATCTTTTTTTTTCTGCTTCATCATCATCGTCTTCCTGCTGCTACCAGGGGGTGGAGAGTTAAGAATCGTCACGTTATGCCTGCAGGGCATGAAGAGAGAAAGACTTTGTGTGTTCTTGTGTTCTCTAGGCAGTTCTGCCTGGTATATCTTGTGATCAGCGTATCTTTTATCTCTTGTTTACGGCCGACAACTATTTCCGGTCATCAACGACCCTGTGCAGATTTTTTTCAAATTTTTTCGTTCTGAATCGATCTTCGCAGTCGTTAAGGTCTTCGCCAACAACTTTCTATAAGATTATTTATCGTTGCTTAATGTTTCTTCTTATTTCCTTGCTCAAATTCAGTCAGTATTGGTCATTGATTACAGACTATGAACTCTTTTCATTTTTGTTGCGTCTGCCCTCAATCGCCATCAGCGACGAAAGAGTATCAGGTGTGGTGATCTTCTCAATTCTTCAGTATCTTCTCAATGAACTCATTCTTATCACAAAAAACTTCAAAAGTCACTTCACTCAATTTTTTTTTCTCTCGATTTGTCTTTTGAACAACTTATTTTTTCTTCATAATGAAATCATAGGACAGTCAGAGGGCTACAACAGGTTCGGGCAATGATAGTTCGTGATCTATTATTGACCCGATAATTTAAAAAAAGCTTCAAATTTAGACCCATAACTATTGTTTTTATTATTTCAGCAATTTTTTGAATCTATAAATACGTCATCTACTTCGAACAGTGATGAGGAGTCATTGCAAGCCTTTCTCATTGAGAAGTCCCTGAAAATTCAACCCAAAGAATTCAAGACATTGGATATGAATATGGTTAGCTATCTAACTCATTTAAACAAAAAATATTTGTGTTTATCTTTAGAAAACAAGACGTCCTCCTCAACTAACTCGCTCACCATGCTTCCGTACTCCTAAGTCAAATGTGTACACGACATTGGCATCAACCAGCCAACAGCAGGGGAGCACAGCGGCAGGCTCACCTAATCCAGATGCAGATGGGTAGGTATCTCTTATATTTTATAATAACTTGTAATATAAAAATCATATGCTAGTTATTACATAATATGTATTGATCTTGGGACATCTTTAGAAAAGCGGTGAGAGTAGGGGAGAATGAAGTTTCCGTTGTGATGAACCGCTTTCATTTAGCGACGTTGCTTTTCTCATCGTGTTCTCTGTATTTCCGGTAGCAAATATAATCAAATAATGTTTCTTTTACTCAATGATTGCGTAAATATTCTGTTTTTTTGACAACTTCACCAGTCACTTGTCTTTGCCTTTCCTCTCCCATCTCTTCTGCCTTACATGCAGGTTCCGCACTATCTTACCTTTATCACTGACTTTTCTCAATGTCTCCTTTTTTGACGTAGTACCTCTTCCATCTTCCCCCAACAGTTCCCGTTTTCGCTTTCTCATAGATTCAAGTAACACTTAAGATTCTATGCAAAGGGTCAGACCGCTCATATAACGCCTTCTCTTACCTTCGTCTGTTCCCAACCACTTCCGGCGCGAGTACAACCCAGTCTCTACGGTGTCCTTTCTTCTCTGCCGTCCATATATAAAGGCTAAATATCACCACTTCATTTGTTTTCGAAGATAATTATAGAAAACTTTTCCTCTTCACTAAATTCCAAGAGTCTCAGAAAACCTTTTCATTATATATTAATCTTTTGGATGAAAACAAGCCGTAGCGCCACTTATCATTCATCTTTTCTTTCTTAGAAATCTTTCTTAATTTTACACTGAACTTATTTACAGATCAAAGCTTGCGTATTCCTGTCCCAAAAAGGAAAATAATCAGATGACTGTAGACTCTCAACACATCCGTCACTATCAAGAAGTTTCCAATTTACAAAAGCCACCACAACTTCCACCGAAAATTGGTACAGTCATTAAAGAAAGATATTTTATGAATTGGAGGTTTTTTTAGGTCTTCTACAACCACCTTTCCCTTATCCACGGAAAACATCACCTAAATCTTCCCCTCCACTCATGCCTTCGGCTGTCGCCTCGTTGGGCTTTATCTCTAAATATGAATCTCCATTACCTCTCAAGACCTCTCCTATCCCAGGATCAAGTAATCCGGTCACAGCTGGTAAATCTTTGAATCATCGTAATCGTTTTACTTATAATTGTATGTTTCAGAAAGTGATACTCTGATATTTTCTTCACCGGAAACATCTGTTACGCCAACAAGTATACCTCCAGCTTTGCCACCCCGACGAAGAACTAATCCAAATATGTCTCCTCCACCATTACCTCCAAAGCCAAAGTAAGCCATTATTAAAAGATTTGCTTATGAATATCCTCTTTATTATAGCCGGAACTCATCTGCTTCTCCCCCACCTCTCCCTCCAAAGACATATAAGCAAAAGCAGTGCAGTCCCGAACCTCGACAAGAAAAATAATTTTTTTCGATTCAATTATACTCTATCTGGCCTCAGCCTCTATGTTGGCTTTTGGGTTTCGGTTAATGTTTTGCTCAGAATCGTCTGAGACAGTTGCCGATATGATCTCGTTTGTATGTAGATTGGTTTGCTTGACCTTATCCGCACTTCCATATATAGAC